GTCCTCTTGAGATTCTAAATGATTCAAACGACGTTTATCAGCCTGAATTTCATTAACTGCACTGTATGAGTCATGGTGACTTTCATTCACTGATGAATGAAGGTGGATAAATATTAAATTAAGTAAACATCCTTATTTACTGAGAATGAACCCCTGAGCTTTACACCCATCAGCCTTTTACACACACACACACACACACACACACACACACACACACACACACACACACACACACACACACACACACACACACACACACACACACTGTTTGTCAGTGGGTGTATTTGGCTGCTCTATCATCACAGCTTTATCTCGACCTCTCTCTCTCTAAGGTCCATGACAAACACTCAGGATGGGAGGAAACCTGGAGCAGGATGTGACTGATGGATGAAAGTGGATGTCACTGTAGGTCAAGGTAAGGTAGGTTAGTTTATTCACTTAACACTTAAAACACAAACTACCACCCTATCCATAAACTGATACCATCGGCAGTTATAGTTGCTTAACCTACTTGTTATTAATGTCATCACTTCATGCGCACTATGCCGGTCAAATGTTCTGTCTCGACAGTAACGCTGCCGCCCACCACTGGCTGTGCTGTTCCTCCTATTAATGGTACAGTTTGTCAGTGTTTAGATCTATAACTGGAGATTGAGTTATACGTAGGCTATGTCAGGTTAAACTGAGATATAACCTTTCAAAACAAAGAATGCATTACCACGTCTCACCTGCGGGGGGGGGGGGCTGTAGGCTGTGTCAGGTTAAACTGAGATAGAGGGTGCATTGGAATTGTCTCTCCTATCTCCTTTCACTATCCTCTTCACCTTGACCCCGGGGAAAACGTCATGAGGTTAAGGAAAGATGTTAGGAGAATTCATAAAGGACTTAGGGAAAGGCGATCTCGTTGCTCTGACAATCCGACCACATTTCCACTAGGCCACGTCATTAAATGTGACGGGCCGGCGGAGGTTAATGACGTGGGTCTGCCGTGTTGAAACTTGAAATATGTGGAATAAAACATCATCTGGATAAAAATGTCTCTTATCTTTTATCCCTTACATGATCTGTGTCACTTTACGATCATCGTTCATTTCCGTGAATTGTCGGATGCGCGACTCGCTTCAAACGCAAGGAATTGTGGGGCGGCATATCTCATCTCCTTTCGTAACGGATGGACCAGTGTATCCTAAAGGAGGTTATAAAGGAAACATTGACCCACCTTTCCTTAAATTTTAGAGAATTCGAACGGTTCTTATCATGGCCGCCACTTAAATGCTTCCGGGGTTAAAGGTGAAGTGGATCGTGAGAGGAGACAGGAGGGACAATTCGAACGAACCCATCCTTTCAAAACAAAGAATGCATTACCACGTCTCACCTGCAGGGGGGGCTGTTGAGTTAATACTGACGGACTCTTAACTCAGCAGCCTCTACCATCAGTGTGTGAATGTGTATGAATGGATGAGTTAATACTGACGGACTCTTTACACAGCGGCCTCTACCATCAGCGTGTGAATGTGTATGAATGGATGAGTTAATACTGACGGACTCTTTACACAGCGGCCTCTACCATCAGCGTGTGAATGTGTATGAATGGATGAGTTAATACTGACGGACTCTTTACTCAGCGGCCTCTACCATCAGCGTGTGAATGTGTATGAATGGATGAGTTAATACTGACGGACTCTTTACTCAGCGGCCTCTACCATCAGCGTGTGAATGTGTATGAATGGATGAGTTAATACTGACGGACTCTTTACACAGCAGCCTCTACCATCAGCGTGTGAATGTGTATGAATGGATGAGTTAATACTGATGGACTCTTTACTCAGCAGCCTCTACCATCAGCGTGTGAATGTGTATGAATGGATGAGTTAATACTGACGGACTCTTTACGCAGCGGCCTCTACCATCAGCGTGTGAATCGGTATGAATGGATGAGTTAATACTAATGGAAAGTGAAAGTGTCTTGAGATAAAAATTTGTTTTGAATTGGCCCTATACAAATAAAGATTGATTGGTTGAGATATAATGAATAACTGTGTGTAGAGATGTCGTGATACCATGAATAGCGTTGGGTTCCACTGAAACCTTGAATCAAAAGTCTCTCTGAGGCATGGCTGCTCAGGAATCATTCCAATAAATGTTCATCAGTGAATTCCTGACACTATACTTTGGTGACATATTGTGTGGCTTTGAGAGACACAATGTCAACTGCATCAAGGTGGCAGGTGACTTGGGATAAAATACCACGAGGTAATCGTGTGGCAGAACGAAAGCATCTTTCACATTCTCCAGTTAAAACTACATTCAAAGTTAACTACACTTTCCTAAAAGAACCATGCTTACAAATAATGATAAATAAACATGAACATTTCTCTGTTAATTGTGACGTGACTGTTGAACCTTGCAGCCCCTAATTGATATTTTGTGACCTGTCAACACTTTATTTTCCATCATTCAGTCTTTAAACACTGCCAATGGCCATATCAGGATCTGTTTAATGTTTTCTTCACAAGCCTCAGCCTTGTTAGCTTGAACTCCATGTTTTTGTTTTTTTTACCTCTCGTATTTTCTTCTTAGTTTTTGTCACTGTAAATGGGCTAACATTCAAATCAAACGGTTTTTTTCAGATTTGATCAGATCATTGCAGTAACGTTTTATCTCGTCTGAAAGTGTTCTGTGTAGTGTGATCATCTGACAATAAGTCATACCATCTGTAACTGGATACAGGACTGTGATTGGTTGGCTTTTCCTTTCAAGGTTGGCCCTCATTTCTTTGAACATGGTGTATTTATTTGTGTCAGGTCCTGTTGTTTAATTTCTTACATCATTAACAAAGAATTCTGGCTGAATGTGTTTCCATGCTTTCACCTTTAACTTTGTCTAAGATCTTCAAACTCCCTGTTTCGTTTTCAGAGACCTGAACAAGTTTTAGAGATGCCTCTGTTTACCTCTGTTGAAGGGGTCAAAGGGGTCATGTGAACTCTTACTCTGCTTAACTTTGGATGGTCTCTGTTGTTGCAGGTTGTAAACAGGCTTTGTGTTGTTTAGACTAGATAACAAAGATGAGAATCACAGAAATCCAATGAGCCCAGTTTTCTTTGGTATAAAACTGAAGTTTAGAAAGACCATCCCGATGCCTCCACTGTTGTGCCTGGCCTTTCCCTAAAATCAGTATTATCAATAATAATTATTGGAAGGCAATCAACAAATGAAAGTGAAACAAAACACCCAAATGAGACAGATGATAAATGTTTAACATTTACATCGACAGTCTTTAGCACTTTATATTCAGTCAGAACAAATGTGGTCTGCGGGCCATCTCAAAATCATGAAGCTTTCTGACACTTTCATTTGCAGAATTATTCATCTTACATCAGCTTTAAATCACAGCTGTCACACACCAAGACTTATTCATGTATACTTCTGTTGGGCCTCAGCTATGTGTGCTGGACAAAGGACTCAGGCCTGTATTGCAGTTCTCAAGCCTGACTATAGTTAGTTTGGAGGGAACTATAGAAAGGAGTTTTTAGCCCACCAACCCCCAACAGCAACTAACAAATAGGTGTGAAAAGTGGGGGGGTGCCTGAATTCTCTATCCTCATTGGAGGAGGCCTTGAGGTTAACCCACAGACAGTTCCAGTCTTTAAAAGCAATCGCCAGGCATTGCTTCTTTCTCTTCAAGTGTTGTCTGCTGACACCCGAGGATAAACTCTCCAACAAGATGGACTCCAGCATTCGAGACAAAGCCTTTCCTCCTCTTGACTTACATAGGTTAAACTCCAGAGCTGAGGTTGTTCAGTCTAGGTAGCTCTTCACATGCTGAATTCAAGCATCAGAGGATTCAGCTGACTATTTCCACGGCATATTTTTCGGAGTTTTGGGTGCAATCAGATGCTATCAGGTTCGAGCAAAAAGAAGAGTTTCTTTCCTTTGATTTTTCATAAGACGTCATTGAAAGATCTGAATCCCGCTTCCCTCCTCCTGAATCTGCCTTGAAGGAAACCTGCCTGAATCTGTTGATTTAACATTCAACAGAGTGACGATCTAATCAACTTTGCAACGATAACCAGGAGTTACCCAAGTAAGAGCTTTGGTCTGGGCAGAAATAGTTTCAGAAATAGTTATTTATTTTATAACCACTGATAATTATGCATCATTGTTGACAACACGTCACATTCTGTTTATTATCTGTTGTAAGCTGCTGCATTTGTTTTATTGTAATGAACTGCTGTGTTCGTCTATGTGTTTAATGCTATGCTAGTTTACCTTCAGTCAACGGCTTTCACAATCAGAAAGACTAGTGTTTCCGCCGTTGAATCAAAGTCCGGCCACTGGCTTTCTGGTGTTTAAGTAACAGTTACTGAACTCAGCTCAGAGTGCTCAAACTATTTCAAAAGGTAGCCACATGGCTTCCTTTGTTGTCCACCATTTTGTCACCATGTGACGAAGCCACATGGTGACAAAATGTCTCTCTCCACCATCTTGTTTTCTCTCTCTCTCTCTCTCTCTCTCTCTCTCTCTCTCTCTCATCCACATACACACACACACACACACATTAATAATATTAGTAATTGAATAACTAATTTGAAACTGATTTCAGTGATATTTTGGTTGTATTTCCCTGATTACAGGGTGGTGCCCCAAGAGTTGATTAAACATAGTTTAATGATATTGTTATTTATATTATTAATAATTAAATATAATTATTAAAGAATATAACCAAAGTTGACTTGATACAACCCCAACACTTCTTTTGTTTGACTTTTATTGAAACAGGAAGTCCAATCGAGATGAAAAACAGAAGCAGCCTATCACAATCCCAAACACATGAAAAAAGACAACAAACTGTGAAAGGATTAACCTTAACCCTAAAACAACACAGCCCAACAGCTTGTCAATGATTCTAACCCCTTTGTTTTGTCTTCCAATGAATGGGCCGGGACAATCACCTCTGAGCAGGCCAACCTTTGATCGCTATAAAAGCAAACTTATGTAACAGCAGGGGGAAAGTTTCTCCAGAGTGAGCTCCGGGGTCAGTGTTGACAGGCTGCTTTGTTCATCCACACTAAGGTATTGTTTCATTTTGAGTCCTCTGCTGGGTTAGGGGCAAATTTTGTCTTCAGTCAGTCCTAACTAGTTTCAATCTGTTCTTCTTTCCTGTCTGTGGTTAGTTCAGGTGTTTGGATTTATACTAATGACTGACAAGGTTTTTCGGTATGTCAGTTTTATTTCTATCTATATATCTAATGCACATTTAGTCACTTATTTTATAAACTTGATTATGTCATTTTGTTAAATTGAATTGTATTGAACCAGAGAATCAAAGCAGTGACCTGATGTTAACCCATTCACTCTGTGCTTCTAGTTATAGACATTCACAGATGTGAAGCAGAAGTTACACTGACACAGAGCTGAAAAGGTAGACTGAATATCTGAATATTTAAAGTTAGACTGAATATCTAAAGTTAGACTGAATATCTGAATATTTAAAGTTAGACTGAATATCTAAAGGTAGACTGAATATATAAAGTTAGACTGAATATATAAAGATAGACTGAATATCTAAAGTTAGACTGAATATCTAAAGTTAAACTGTATATGTAAAGTTAGACTGAATGTCTGAATATATAAAGATAGACTAAATATATAAAGATAGACTGAATATCTAAAGTTTGGAGGGGATTCAGATGTAAAGTGGAGAGAAGTTGAAACAGGACTTACTAATAGGATTCACACACGCATCACTCTGCCAATCAGAGTTCTCGGGAGCCTTAAAGGCATACTGCACCACCTCCACAAATGACCAATCAGAAGAAAGTTCCTATTATTAAACGCTGTATGTCATCAGTCACAGAGTCAAGAGAAAAACACAGGAAATGAAACATGTGAGAAAAAATGTATTCCAAAAATAGGAGAGTTTCTAGTTCTCTAAAGAAATCATAACACAACATAATATGATCCAGGAAACCTTTCATGAACATGATCACGGAGAGGAGAAAATTCTAATCTGTCTCTCCAGAAAGTTTCTTCATACTGACCTTAAATACAAAGAGAAACCTTCTACAGTCTCCAATACATCAAAGAACTTTTGAAACAACAAGCACTACAGAAAGCAATCACACCTACACACACTAGAACAATTGATCAGAGTTTCTGCTTAGAGGAAATCAAACCTTTCTTAAAAGATGTCCATTACCAGTTGGTAGGGATTCCTGAAATGCAAAACCAGTTTACCAGTTTAATTGCTGTAAAAAACAAGTTTATGAAAATTCCAATACAAACATCAAGAAAATAAATCACTTTCATTTAAAAAATTAACATTTTCATTTTTGCTGCCCCCGTACAGGACAAAATGAAAACAGAATATTCTTTAGAGAAGAGCAGCAGAACTCAAGGAGTCTCTTTTGTAAGTATAAACAAACAGCAGTTTCCACCACGAGGCGATCTTTTCCTCTTCTATTGTTTCTCCAACATCCTGTGCTTTTATTCTGAAGGTGTCTGATCTGCCTTTTGTCCATCTAAAAGCTCTGCTTGTCTGATTCTTATCTGTTTTTACATACCATATTCATGACTCTTCAGGCAGAAGATGATTTCCGTAAGAACACTGAAACTTTGGCCTCCAATCCAGAACCTTCGGGTTTGGACAACAACCAAACAGCTCAACCTTCCCTGTTCAGAAAATACCAGCAAAGCCTTCAGACCCTCCTACCTTTCCGCTGGTCCTCACCAAAGTCAGTGTCTTTGAGGACTTACTAACTCACATTCAATGCATTTCTTTGAGCATGTTGTGACTGTGGCTATGACACATCTAAACCACTGCAGAGTTAATATCATGTTATGTTTCCTTGTCTAGTCCACACCCTATAGACAATGCAGGTTTCCTGTCCTTTTCCACCTTCGTCTGGATGACACCCATGATGTGGGCCATTTTCAGAAATAGGCTGGACATGAACTCCCTCAACTTGTCTCATTTTGATTCCGCCGACAGCAGTGGAGAAAGGTCCGACAATCTTCTGCACGTTGGCTGTCACAGACATTAATTTACCATGATATCTTTACTGACGTTACCTATAAGAAGTGTCTTCCCTGAAAAACAGGAACCATTGAATCATAGGGAATGTGTTGTGAAACATTGTGTGATAGTTATTATAGTTATAGTTAGTTATAGTTATTCTAGTAAAAATAATCTTATTTAAAGATCACATTCCATTAAAAGGTAACATCAATGTGCTTTCAAATTTAAGAATACATGGATTAAACAATCATTTGTACCACCATGAATAAGACACATCACATAGCAATTCAACAAAGTACAATGAAATCAAACATAAAAATAACCAACCACACAGGAGCTCTCATAGACACACACATGCACACAGCAACTATGACTCTAGTCATTTATTAACAAAGCTAGAAGAATTGATTTCAATGTGTTTCCTGTTCAGGCTGCACAGACTCTGGAAGGAAGAAGTGGCAGAAGTGGGCCTGGAGAAGGCCTCTTTGGTTCGAGTGGTTTTTCGCTTTCAGAGAACCAGGCTGATTCTTTCCGTCTTTATTGGTATCCTTGCTATGTTGGCAGCATTTATTGGCCCGGTAAGTGTTGTTATACCACTTTCACCTTCTTTGAATCCTCCCCTGGTATCTGCCTTATTGTAAAGTTATTGGACTGCTACTGATGAAACCAGAGTATCTGAACAACAATGCTTCATTGATGACACTGTGTAAATGTAGAGCTGACCCCGTTATGATTACACAGAGACCTCAGTAACACGACAACTTAGTGTTTGAATGTTTAACACTCTAATGTATCAACCTCTCCTTCCTCTTAGGCTGTTCTGGTCTATGAGCTCCTAAACTATGCTGATAACCCAGGGGATTCCACAGTGTATCATGGTGTTGGTCTGGCCATTGGTTTGTTCATCTCAGAGTTCATGAAAGCCTTCCTTATATCCTTACTATGGGCGATGAACCTGCGTACAGCAGTCCGAATAAAGGGTGCCTTCTCTTCAATGGCTTACCAGAAAGTGATCTCTCTGCGGGTGCACAGCGGCGTGTCAATGGGAGAGGTAATCAGGCTTACACTCAGAAGAGTCAACATTTAAAGCAGGGTACCAACATTTCTCTGCTAGGGTTTGAATCATCGTGTTTGAATTTCTAAGAATATCGAATGTTTGATAAGCTGGCATTAAAAAAGTGGAGTTCAGAAAATACACAGTGGAAGTTCCTTTATATGAAGTACTGTAGCCCTAAGCGTACATGCATCCATCCATTTTGGTGACTCAGTTTTCCTGTGATGCAGGTCATTTCCACTTATTTTCTCAAGCTGTCTATGTATTTATCTCAGATCCCAAGAGTTTCAAAAGCACCAAACAAACATAGACATCGGCTGAACTTCTCTCATTAATGTGAGATGCCATACTGCTACTGCTCACACTAATGATCACATATGAGTTCAGCTAAGCGATGAAAAGATTTTCATAACTGGTTAAAACATGTGGACCATCACAGTTAGAGCAGACAATCACACAGGTGGGAAACACATGAGGGCGGGAAGTGACGGATCTGAAACGAGAGGAGAAGTTAGTGACCCAAAACAGAAAATAAAACAAGATAGAAATAAAAACAACTTAAGACCCTGAGCTGGACATGACACACAGTGAGGTATGATGTAGTCCAGGAACACAGTGAGGTATGATGTAGTCCAGGAACACAGGGAGGTATGATGTAGTCCAGGAACACAGTGAGGTATGATGTAGTCCAGGAACAGAGTGGGGAATTATGTAGTCCAGGAACACAGGGAGGTATGATGTAGTCCAGGAACACAGTGAGGTATGATGTAGTCCAGAAACAGAGTGAGGAATGATGTAGTCCAGGAACAGAGTGAGGAATGATGTAGTCCAGGAACAGAATGAGGTATGATCCAGGAACACAGGGAGGTATGATGTAGTCCAGGAACACAGTGAACACAGGGAGGAATGATGTAGTCCAGGAACACAGTGAGGTATGATGTAACCCTAACCCGAATGATGTAGGTATTAAAGATAATACTTTTATTTGTAGTAGCATTTTTTTCTGTTTAAGTGGACCCGATTTTAACAGACTTCCTTTTAGTTTCTGTGTTTACCTGAAAGTTGGACCCTGTTCCCACTGAACTGTTAATAAGTATATAATAAAGTATTTATGAATCTCACTTGAGGTACTGGATCTAAAGTGAGAACACTCACTTTAGATCCAGTATCTGCAGAGGAGCTTTATTAACTTAATAAGAATCTAATAAGGTCTTATAAGTGACTTATTAACTATTATTAATGCTTATTACAAGCACCTTAATATGAAGTGTTACCAAGGCATATATTCCCCTACCTCTCTCTGCCTCCTGTCCAGATGATAAATGTTCTGACCAATGATGGCTACCGGTTGTTTGAGGCGGTGTTGTTTGGGAGCTTTGTGCTCTCCTCTCCAGTGCTCTTCTTCGTGTGTGTCATCTACGCCTGCTTCATTCTGGGCTACACGGCCCTGACTGGAGTCTGCATCTACATCATCTTCATCCCTGTTCAGGTCTGTACAATGCACACTGCCACAAACTGCACATATCAGGTCAGCAATGCAAAGATGTTCATAGCTGGTGAAACGTGTGGACCATCTCGTCAAAGCTTCAACATGACACATTCAAATGTAAAAAGTTATACAAAGACAGCCATGAGACTCATATCACTTATATCATATCACCCGGTACGCCAGGAGAAGCCCAGCACCATGTAGCCTATGGTCCCCACCGTTTTTAAACTATAATAAAAAAACAAACGTCCCATTTGACTCGGGGGAGGACCGTACATGGTGCCGGGCTTGTCTCGTCGTCTTTGCCTATAATAGAAAGTGCGATACGCTGCTCCGGTGGTTAGATAATAAATCCACTTCTCCGTCTCCCTCCTGCATCTGTGAGCGACCTGAGGGGGGATTCAATGAGAGCAGCCCCGGTACGCCAGGAGAAGCCCGGCACCATGTACGGTCCTCCCCGGAGTCAAGCGGGACGCTTGTTGTTTTATTATAGTATAAAAACGGTGGGGACCATCGGCTACATGGTGCCGGGCTTCTCCTGGTGTACCGGGGCTGCTCTCATTGAATCCCCGCTCAGGTCGCTCACAGATGCGGGAGGGAGACAGGGAGGTGAATTTACTTAAACACCACCGGAGCCACAAGACTCCTCTCACCGGAGCAGCATCTCATCGGGGGCTATGCCCCACTTTATATTATGACTTTATAACATGTAGGGGGGAAAACACACAAGTTTTAGAAATGAGGTCTTGTTGAGCGGTTGCTTTGCTAAGTCGGCTGCCCGGCTACCGGCACCGTTGTCCAGCTTGAGTAGGCTACGGGACTTCCGTCTGCCAGGATTGTGTACTTCTCAGGCCCGGGGCAGAGGGCTCTCCGTGGGTGAAGTGTCAGTGTTTGATGACAGGGAGAATGTTAAACTGTAGCAAAGAGATGAGTAGTGAGTTCAACCCGGACACCGGGAATGGCGAAAGCACGAAGTGTCGGGTTGGTAAAGCGGGTGCAGAGGGATGAGTTGCAGCTGGAGCTCATAGCCCCAGAGCTAGCACTAGCTCCAGACATCCCGGGGGCTAACAGCCACAGTCCCACATTCGGCTCTCGTCCCCGATGTCAAAATCCCAGTCGGACTCGCTTTATCTCCGCGTTTCAGTAACATTGAAGTTATCCTGTGTCTTTCAACGATACAACTTCCCCTATCTAAACATAACTTTCTGATCCTAGCTGTCTCTCTTACTCTCTCACTTAAATAAACCGAAATGAACAGTTCCACAGCGCCCCTACAGGCCTGGAGCACTTGTTTACAATGTTTAAGGATTAACTTGCAGTGTTTCTGTGTTTGCAGTTGTTTTCTGGTTGTGTGTGTTTTGACTTAAGTTTTGTTTCTGTACTTGCAGCGCGTTTGTGTCTTTTGCAGCGCGTTTGTGTCTTTTGCAGCACGTTTGTGTCTTTGCAGCGCGTTTGTGTCTTTGCAGCGCGTTTCAGTCTTTGCATTTGTTTGTGCATTTGTTGTGGTAGTTTGCATTTGCTTTTGAAAGTGCAGCATTTCTATATATGCTGCCCGTTTTTCTAAATGTATGTCGTTTCATCAGTTGCTGATCGTTTGACCCCTACCGGCCACCATACCGGACATCCCTTCAGGTTTTAACACTCCGGCAGATTTTAATGAAAGATCTGGGGTCTCATTTATAAAAGAGTGCGTAGAATCCATACTAAAAATGTACGTGCGCCAAAAACCCGGAAATGGCGTGTGCACAAAATGATTCAGATTTATAAAACCGTTCGTACACACACCTGCACGCAATGTTCCCTTTATGAATCATGATCTACCTGGAAATGTGCGCACATAGATTAATCCCATGTTCCACCCTCTACATGTCCACAATCAACCATAAACGGTCAACGCAAAGCAGCTAGTGAATGAAAATGCATACAAACGAGGGGGGCGGAGCTAAGGTTTCCAGCGCTGGATCGCGGCGAAACCCGGAAGTTTAGACGAAGAAACAAAACTTTCTGACCCAGAAACAGAGGAGCTTATGAATGAAGTGAAGGATAAAATGAACATATCGATAGTTTACTGCAGCAGGAGGATCACAAACTGAAGACCAATCAGAGAGTGACACCACGTCGCTGCTGTATTCACCCTGTCTTCCTACAGTGCCAAAACAACCAGCGTTCATCATTACACACGAGTATATCTACAATGTTTACATGTGTACGGGACCCACACTGACTTCATATTGTGCTCACGTCAGTCAGCAGTCTGTCTCACTCTATTATATTATTAATCAAAGGTTTGATCAACGAACAAAAATGTTTGATTGTTGGCCCCTTTTTTTTGTGGGAAACTCTGTCTGCTCTGTGACTCATTATGAGGATATATAGACCTAATGATCCTGTCAGAAATGACCTGACTTAATGTCCACACTTGAATTATTTACAGAATAAATACGTGCAGCTGATGAAGACATGCTGAGTAACGAGGAGGTGAAATGTGTGAAGCCACCGCCGTGTCTCTCTGCGTCTTGACGCAGTCATCTTTATTAAAACTAAACACCACACTTGATGATAAATGCAAGATATTGAAAGATATTAATGAAAACTGGTGGCTCTGTGGTCTCTGTGTTAGTCTAATGTTTAACTCTACATCAGTGATTACACTAGTGTACAAGTTTGGTCCACTGAGGTCCGTCTGGGATAATGAAGGCGAGACGGCGCTGATGCAATATCAATCAACCAATCAATCAATCAATTTTTATTTGTATAGCGTCAACTCATAGCAAGTGTTATCTCGAGACACTTTACAAAAAGCAGGTAAAATACCTTACTCTTTGTCTTTTAACATTACAAAAGAGCAGGTAAAAAGACCTTACTCATTGTTATGTTACAAAGAGCAGGTAAAAGACCTTACTCATTGCTATATTACAAAGACCCGGCCTATCCATCATGAGCACTTTAGCAAAGCAGCTAAAGTTACAGTGATAAGAAAAAACTTTCTTATTAAAAGGCAGAAATCTTCGGCCGGATCCCCGGCTCATGACGAAACAGCCTTCACAGGCCTAGACTGCGCCGGGCTTGGAAAGGTATAGGGGGAGAGATGGGATAAGATGCAGGAAGAGGGATAGGGAGCAAGGGGGTGGGGGGAGGCAAGCCATCCATCAACAATCCGGTGGTGGGGGGGGGGGGTTTGTTCTGGCGGGCCGTCAACCTCGAGGAGCCTAAGAGAGCTCAAGAGCTCCCAGGAAAGTGATTTACAGATAGATACATGCAGTAATATGATGTACTGTATATGCACAGAGAGAGAGAGAGAGAGAGAGAGAGAGAGAGAGAGAGAGAGGCTCTTCCTAGCCACCAATGTTATCCCGCAAATATGGAAATCTGCCTTTGTGCTTCCTCTCATTAAAGAGGGTGACCCCACTATTTTAAATAACTACAGGCCCATCTCAAAACTGTCTGTCCTGGCCAAGGTTCAGGAAACCCTTGTCAGTGATCAGCTTAAGGACTTTTTAAACACTAATAACATTTTATCTGACTTTCAATCTGGTTTCAGAAAAAGACACAGTACAACGTCAGCAACTCTAAAGGTTTTAATGATTTTATGGAAAGTATAGATCACAAGCAACATTGGGCAGCCCTTTTTATAGACCTGTCCAAGACATTTGATACTGCGGACCATACAGTACTCAAACACAGACTGATTAAAGCAGGACTGTCTGATCACACAGTAAACTGGTTCACAAACTACCTCACAAACAGAACTCAGTGTGTGCAGGCAGAGGGCTACACCTCTAACTCACTCACTCTAACAAAAGGTGTGCCTCAGGGGTCAGTCCTAGTACCGCTGCTATTTATTCTTTATATAAATAACATTGATTCAAATGTTCTCAATGTCTATATTCACTTTTATGCGGATGATACTGTGATGTACTGCTCAGCACCCACTCCAGACCAAGCTCTCTCACAGTTACAACTTGCTTTTAACACTGTTCAACAAAATTTGTATGACTTAAAACTTGTTTTAAACGCAGACAAAACCAAAGTCATGATGGTCTCTAAGGCAAAAACAAAACCATCAAACCGTCTTTCGATTTCAACCTCTCAAGGTATGCAAATCGAGTCTGTTTCGAACTACAGATATCTTTCTTTTAATCCTCACATTCAGCAGCTGGTAAAAAGGTTAAAGCTGAAACTGGGATTCTACTTTAGAATCAAATCCTGCCTTTCTTTTTAGTCTAAGAGGAGGCTGGTTGCTCCCACTTTTATGTCGGTGCTGAATTAGGGTTAGGGTTAGGGATGTTTTATACATGCAAGCCTCCTCACAAAGCTTACATGCTCTGGACACTGCGTATCTTCACTCATCACTGTTTGGGTTAGGGTTAGGGATAACGTGTTGGATGGACTTCTTTGACCCTACGTAGACTTAAACATTGGCCTATTTTAGGTCTGCTTCCTTTGTACCTTCTGTCCTTCATCAGTCAGAAGAGTACATGGACTTATAATTTTCAATCTCAGGACCTTTTCTTACTGTCTGTTCCAAATGTCAGAACTGAACTGGGGAAAAGGCCTTTAAGTTTGCTGCTCCCTTTACGTGAAACAAATAACAAAAAGAGCTGAAACTTAATAAACTTTTCTCGTTGGATGCTTTTAATAGGAAGTTAAATGACTTGGAGGTGGATACATCTGTAGATGTTCTTCCTGATCTATTTGTGGATGATTTTTTGACAAACATTTGCTGTTCGGATTTGTTATTTGAGTCTTTTAATGTCTAATGTATTTTGTATTTGAATGCTTGGCTGCTCATTGTTTGTGTGAAACTCTGTTAATGTTTTGCTGCCTGTCTCGGCCAGGACGCTCTTGAAAAAGAGAGTTTTAATCTCAATGAGTTTCTTTCTTGGTTAAATAAAATGTTAAATAAAAAAATTAAAATTTGATCTGTTCACGATTGTTCTTCGTTGTCACTGATTACTCTTCACATCTCTTTCTCTGCCTTCAGTTTTTCTTAGCCAAGCTCATCACCGGCTTCAGATGGAAAGCCATTTTATTAACCGACAGCCGTGTTCGCACAATGAACGAGATTCTCAACAGCATCAAACTGATCAAGATGTACGCCTGGGAAGAATCCTTTGAGAAGAAGGTGGCAGGTACAGATGTCGACTTCCTGCTGTTGATCTCAGTCAGACACTTTATTTCAATATTCTTTACCATGCCCTCAAAAAAGAACATCATGCATAATGTAATACTGTGACAGAGTTAATGCACTTTAATATGTGAAACTGAGCTGACAGATGATCCACAGTTACTACTGTAAATGTTCAAAAGACAGCTTTCTCCTAAATGTGACCATGTCTCTGACAGATCTGAGGAAAAAAGAAAAGAAACAACTGAAGAGGGTCTGTCACATCCAGAATCTGAACACCAGCATCACAGGCATCATCCCCACCGTTGCCACTGTTCTCACCTTTATCGTGCACACTTTGGTGGGCTTCAGTCTGAACACCTCTGATGTGAGTATCGAAGCTGCACATACGAAACAGGACTACTTTGTGATGAATTGCTCATACGTGTTTAGAAGTGTCTAGATTGTTGGACAGAAAAGACAGCCGTGCTGAAGAGCAGCATGTGTGTTCCTGAGATATGAAACTTTTTAACATGACTATCTCTGAAGTCTTTACACTAAAGAACACGTGTTTGATGGAGCTGACAGCACACAGGAACAAGGACTCTGTTTAAAACCTAACTGCTGATGTTCCTGTTCAATGAATATCCGTCACAGGCTGTCTGACAATCATTCCTTCTGATTTTCAGGCTTTTACCACCATCGCCATCTTTAACTCCATGAGGTTCTGCCTCGCTCTGATGCCGATGTCAGTAAAGAACCTGGCTGAGGCTGCGGTATCATTAACACGACTGAAGGTAACCTTTCTGTTGTCTTATTATCAGTTATTGTTTGTTACTACTCTGACACAGCTTTGATATCTTCACTTCCTGTTTCAGTTTACCCAACACCTTTCTTTCGATCATTTCGGCCTTTGGCATGTCGGTGTTCTGGCGCCAGCTGGGACCATATTTGTTGAAGATAAACTCATTTAGTGCTTGTGGATATTTAATTAGTCTGAGTGAGAGTGAGTGTCATGTGAATAAACTAACCAGGAAGGAACAGTTCTATGTTCTCACATTTATCACCTAAATGTCTTTTATTCATAAAATAATCCCCAAGATGCTCGAGCAACACAAACTGAAGTGTATCAATCAAACGTAGGGTTAGTGATATCTTCCAATGGTTTGTGAAGAGGTGTTTTACTCAACCTAACTCTCTATCAGCAAAGAAACAGACAAACAGATGAATCTGAGATGGGACTTAAGCCTCCTGACAAACAGCTACAAGACGCCCACCTGTAGGTCAGGTCAGGCACGCATCTCATTATTCAAATGTATGTTAAACTTTAACCTTCATAAAATCAAGACAGATGATCATTGTGTACAAATAACTTGTACCGGCTGTCATCATGTTCCTTTCTGTTCCTTGCGTAATGTCCGATCTACCTGATATTCCTCCGTTTGTTGAACAGACTCCAGTGGACACTTGAGGAACTGCAGTTTTTTGCTCCAAATTGACTTTCAGAGGTTGCCACTTGGTTGCCTCCATGCAGACAGCGAGCAACACGCTCTCTCACACAAGTCCCTAATTACGAATGATTTCAACTTTGAACGTCTTAGTGATATCTAAATCTCACCCCAGCACAGTTTGCAGTCCTCAACGTTTTCTGTTTTATTCGACCAGGATGTAAATATGTAACTGTGCCGTAAAGTTGGATGTGTATCGGGCTTCACAGGGATTGGCTGGTTTTTGGAGTCAGTCCTATGTGTTCGATTGAGGAACTTTCATGTCAGCATCATATTGGCTTGATCTCTCAGGGCCCAGGGGTCGTAAAAGGCAAAGGTTACTCTTTCTGTATTAAGTTTGAAATAACCGCAGACTCTTTACGTGTATCTATGTTGTGAATCTAATTTGACATGAATACAGTTTTAATCCTGTTTTAAAGCTTATATGTGCAAATGTTTGGCTCCTGCAGAAACTATTACTGATCCAGAATCCAGAGCCCTACATGAGCCACATGAAAAACAGTGACTCGGCCATAGTGATGAAAAATGCTTCACTCTCCTGGACTAAACTGGACAGTCAGACTGACTCCTCTCCCAGCTCAGCCAATGGGATGAATGGACACAAAGTGGAAGAGACATCCCAGCATGAAAAGACGGAAACATTGCCAACACTGAGAAACATCTCCTTCACACTGCCCAAGGTGTGTTTTACCACTGAGAAGGTTTCATGGCTTGGATTTTAGGGGGGGCTAGGTAAGGGTACTAATCCTGTCACTGTGTTTTCTCTGGAAGGGGAACCTGCTTGGAGTCTGTGGGAATGTGGGGAGTGGAAAGACATCACTGATTTCCAGCATTTTGGAACAGGTAAGCCTCACAGATTATGCTCCTGATTTAACATAACTTTTTTTTATGTTATATCTCTTTGAATTTCCCTCGGGATCAATACAGTATCTATCTATCTATCTATCTATCTATCTATCTGTTACCTCTAACATGATTGAATGAATTCTGTGTAACATCCAGCTTTTCTTACTCTTCTTTTTCTATCACAGATGCACCTTCTTCAAGGCTCCCTGTCAACTGATGGGACATTTGCCTACGTTTCCCAGCAGGCCTGGATATTTCATGGAACTGTTCGAGAAAACATCCTGATGGGGGAACCTTTCGACCAGGCCAAGTAAGGAAGTCACATGACCACCTAAACAGCACATCAGACTTGTTTACAGCCTGGTACAAAATAGGTCCGATTAGTACATATCTTTCTCGGCACACACTGTACAAGGTTTTTTATTACTCAACAGTTTTGATTTTATAAAGGACACAAGTTATGCATAATTAGAGGCGGGAATGACTCGACTGCAGGATGCTGTGAGGTAGTGGTTTGTCAGGAGGCTTAAGGCCCGCCTCAGCTCGACATCTTTGTCTGTTGTTAGGCTGAACAAAGGATTGACAGAATCATCTTGTCCAATATGGCGACCACCATAGATAGGCTTCCAAAACAGCCCTTCATAAACCAATGGGTGATGTCACTCAGGCTTCCTCTACAATTATTTAGAGTCGATGACACCAGGCAATCACAGGGCTGACATATAGAGACAGACACACTTTTATGCTCACATTCACAAATAAGAGTCTCAAGTTTACCTAATGAGCATGTCTTTGAACTGTGGGGAAACTCCACACATAAACAGGGAGAACATAGAAACTTTTATTACAGGAACATTCTTACTATGAGGCACCAGCTCTAACCACTGCACCCCTGTGCAGCCTAAACCATCACCCTAACCCCTCCCACTTGTCCGTTAGGATAGAGCTCCAGCTGTTGATGAGTGAAAGAGCAGCTCAGGAAGATTTCAGAGGCAGGCTGTCCTGAAGAGTTCTGGAAATGTGAAGGAGTGCATGTGTGTAAAGGGTTTCAGTAGAAGAAGCTTCAGACAGTTGTGAACTTTATGGAGGGAAAACCTTGTAGAAACTGTGAGGAGATCATTGGTGATGTTAATGTGTTACGGCTGTTCTTCTTCACTGCACTGACTATAAAACTATGAAAATATCTTTACTGAGCGCGTGTCTCACATGACAAATCTTTCAGTGGGAGAAAGTTCCTCTTATGTAGTCGTCGTAGAAGCAAAGGTCAATCCTCTTATCTGAGAAGATCGTCTTTGGAAAACTCTGCTGGTTAAAAACTGCTGCTCAGTTTTAGATGAGTCACACCATCAAAGTGGTATTTATGTTCGTGGTTAGCAACTTTGCTCTCCTTATACAGCACATAAACAGCCAGGCACTTTATATTACCTTTTTCACATGCACTCCTGGTGACTGATTTACGCTTCAGGACAGCATGTCCCTCTCCACAGATGATAACTCCTAACCCAGACAGAAGGTCTCAGGAGGTAGTTTGAAGTTTACAACAAATCAAAGATTGTGGACCCAGCAAGCTTAGAGTGGCTGCAGGGACGCTGGAAGTCAGTTTTAGTTTGGAGAGAAGTCCTTCTTTATAATGACGTTATACTATAAAAATATATAGAAATATGTTTCTTATTCATTCATTTGAATGTTCAGTATCAACAGCAGCTCATATCATCAGTGAAATACATCTACATATCCCATAAAACACAACTTTAAATGTTTTTATAAACTTAATGCGGCATGATTTATGGGGTGGTGGAGCACCATCAGGACCCTTCATGTACTGATCCCTGTATGGCTGCATATTATGGGATATGTTGGCCCCCATGTTCCCATCCATCCTTAGACCTCTAAGACGCCCCAAAGTGCCAGTTTGAGAGACAGAACTGTGTATTTAGTAAAAACATGATTAATACAAAACATATTAGTTTCATTTATCATGAACTGAATTCATAATGCAGCTCTTCCATCAGAGTTGAAATGGCTCTGTACGTTGATTTTCAGGTCATTTGATGTTTTATTTCACAGATATGACAGAACTGTGGATGTCTGCGGCCTCCGGGACGACCTGAAAATCCTGCCTCATGGCGATCAAACTGAGGTAGGCGCTCTCTTTGTGATATTTAAGGATTTCTTATGAGTGTAGCTCCAGGGGGCCTGACAGGGGTCGGGGATCAGTATGGCTACTGGGGGGTGCACTCTGCAAGAGCGACTCCTGACACGGCTCTAAGTAGGGTGTTTTTCGGCGTTTTTCTTGTATGTCCTCTCGTCTTTTCCTGATTTTGTCAGAATGTTTACGGCAACTGTGTTGTATCGAGCCTGCCTTTTGCTACTGATCACTAGTTTATGGCACGTAAACGGAATCTGCTCTCGACCGGTGCAGCCTTTTACCAACCAAGGTAGGCTGGCCCACTCACGGGGCTACCTGTTGGAGCTGAGGCGCTTTCAGCCAGATCTAGCGCAGGTATCCCTTCTCACTAAAGACACACCTCTTGTGTTACTTCGGGAAAACAAGCGGAAGCAAATACGAAGGAAAAGAGGATCAAAAGGAGGGATACGTAACAGGCTAAGGAGGAGAGGCAGCCGGCTACCTTTACCTGCCATAACCCTATCCAACGTGCGATCGCTACGGAATAAGGCTGAGGAACTCTCCACTCTTGTCACGTTCGATCTGGATTATCGGCAAACCAGCCTTTTCTGTTTCACAGAGACATGGCTGACTGGGGATGCGGACTTTCATCTAGATGGCTTTAACATAATAAAACGTAATAATAAAATGCGGAAGTCGATTGGGGGCGGGCTCTGCATGGCTGTCACACTTCACAGTAAGGGAAACTGAGTGCTGTAAACACCTTCAGACCATATTATTTACCCAGAGAGTTCTCCCAGATTACTGTCATTTTAGTGTATGTACCAGGGCCTGATTTCTGATTGTTATAACAGAGCTGTCAATCAGACTGCAGAGCAGCCAGTGTTTGTACTGGGGGACTTTAACAGGTGTGACATCACCACCGCCCATTATGGAGCAATACGTCACAACTCCCACCAGAATGCAAAACATACTGGACTTGTGCTATGGCAACATCCCTGATGCATACATCTCAAAACCACGCCCACCTCTTGGCCGCTCTGACCACAACGTCATCTTGTTACTGCCAAGATACAAATCGCAACTGAAAACAGGAAAACCCATCACAAAAAATATCAGAGTCTGGAATAAAGAAGCAATTGAATCACTAAAAGGTTGTTTTGAACGGACTGACTGGGATTTGTTTTTTAATGACTGCGGCAGTGATCCTAACATGTTGACAGATGTACTTACCTCTTACATTAGCTTCTGTGAGGACACTGTCACTACAACCAAACAAATAACCATTCATCAAAGAACAAAAAATGGGTTACAAGGGACATGAAAATCTGCCTGGTCCAGAAGAAAATGGCTTTTTTACAAAGAGACAATCTTAGGGTAAAGGAACTAGAGGATAAGGATGGCTAGGCTGGCTAAGATCAACTACAAAAACAAAGTGGAGCAGAAATTAACCTCTGGAAATGCAAGGGAGGCGTGGCAGGGTTTAAACACCATGATGGGAAGAGACCCTAAACCTACAGACTCTAGCTCTTTTGCAGAAGAACTCAACATCTCATTCACCCATTTTAACAGCAGCAGCAACACACCAACCAACTGGATCTGCCCAACCTCTAGTTCCCCCCACCAAGCCCTCACTATTAATGAACAACTGGTGACCTCCATCCTGCACAGAGTCAACCCACACAAGGCCTCTGGCCCTGACAGGCTTAGAGGTAGGATGCTCAAGGAATGCTCCACCCAGCTAGGTGGGGTTCTCAGCAGACTGTTTCAGCACCTTTTGGATTCTGGGTGTGTCCCCAACCAGTGGAAGGAATCTATAATCCCAATCCCAAAAAAAGAAACATGCTAAGGACCTTAAGGACTACAGACCGGTGGCCCTGCCCTCTGTGTTGTGTAAATGTATGGAGAGAGTAGTGTGTGACCATCTGTCTAAAATGTTGTCTAACAAACTTGATCCCCTACAATTTGCCTATAAAGCAAAACGTGTGTAGAGGATGCAAGTCTCACACTTTGAGACACTTTGACTCTGCACATCCCCACACTAGGATTTTATTCATGGATTTCTCCTCTGCTTTAAATACTGTACAGACACTCTGTTGCGCCGCCTCTGGGACCTTCATGTCCACCCACACTGGTTTTATGAAAAATAGTTTTTTACATGAAAGACCACAACAGGTGTTTCTAAAGGGTTTTAATGAAATTGGTTTTAAACACAGGTCTTCCCCAGGGTTATGTTTTATCTCCCATTCTTTTCTCTGTTTACACAAACAACATCTCCTGCAACAGTGAAGGAATGACACTTTTGAAATATGCAGATGACTGCCCTAACTCGATACCAGCAGGCAGTCAACAACCTGGTCCAGACTCACTGGAGCTCAACATCACAAAGACTAAGGAGTTGTGCTGTGGGGGCAGGGGAAAATCACCATCACCTCCCTTCCAACCACTCACAATCCAGGGCCAGCTTGTAGAGCAGGTTCTTTATTTTAAATACCTGGGAACAGAGATTGACACCTGTCTCTCCTTTTCAAAGCATGCAGACTCTGTCTACAAAAAATCACAACAGAGACTCCACCTGATGAGGAAACTGATCAGCAAACATATTCTAACTCTGGTTTACTAATCACTTATCCATCCTCACTTTTAACATCTCATCCGGTACAACTCCCTCACCACCAAACACAAAACCAAACTCTCCTGCATCATTCAATCAGGCCAGCAAAATGATTCACCACAAACTACCCTCTCTGAACCGTATAATCGCTCTGCGATCAGGAGAGCCACCCTGATCACAGAGGACCCCTCTCACCCCCTCCCCCTGATCACAGAGGACCCCTCTCACCCCCTCCCCCTGATCACAGAGGACCCCTCTCACCCCCTCCCCCTGATCACAGAGGACCCCTCTCACCCCCTCCCCCTGATTACAGAGGACCCCTCTCACCCCCTCCAACACTCCTTCCAGTTACTGCCATCAGGCAGACGCTACAAAGTCCCTCTGGCCCGGAAAAACATCTACAAAAAATCCTTCATTCCCTCTGCAATAGCCATTCTGAACAAAATCAAATAGACCCCCTTTTTAGAAACTGTTGTTTTTAAGTCCTATTTTAATGTACTGCACTTTCTGTTTTTAATGTAAGTTGTGTTTATTGTTCGAGCCTTGTCGAAGGAGAATTTCTGTCTCTGTTTGGACAGACAACAAAGTATATCTATCTATCTATCTATCATGTGATAGTAATGAACAAAGTTTTGGAGTGCATTCTGCAGATGTGGGAATATTTGCAAACTCCAAGAGGTCCCCCAGACCAGGATGGACTTCAGATCTCTGTACATCACTGTGTTTTTTGTTGTCAAAAAGCGAGTCTGAGTAGTGATATTTCTACGACAGCCGACCAGAGACTTAGGACAAAGAGCAACTTCCCGATCAGCACTCTTTGATAAACTCCTCAAAAAAAGTTTGGAAATGTTATTTCAGTCATTTTCGCCCCTTTAATAATATTAATATGTGTTGCATTATATATCGTTGGAAAGCCTGAGTAGTCACCTTTACAAGGAGGTATAACTTGTAAGGATCGTGCATTTGTGGAATGAGCAACACAGCTTTACGTGTGGGTAGCGCCCCCCCAAAAAATGTGCCAAAAATCCCCTGCAATATTCTTCTGTTGGTATTCACTCCTGTTTTGAGTTGTTTGGTGGATTGGATGATTGCAAGATTTATTTTTTGGCTTTTTGTGCCTTTAATGGAGAGAGTCAGAAATCAGGAGAGAGAGAGAGAGAGAGAGAGAGAGAGAGGGGAATGACATGTGGGATTTAAACCTGGGCCGCCTGCTTGGAGGACTATAGCCTCCATACATGGGGCACATGCACTAACCACTGTGCCACCAGTGCCCCTTTTTGGACATTTTTACACTTATTCATTTAACACTGTCAGGGACCTGAGTAGCGTGTGGAAGATCCATACACAGCCACAACAGCTTGGCCTCAAACAGGAGTTGTTGAAGGTCAACCACACCCAAGCTGATCCCCCATCAGGTGCCAATCATAACTGTCACACACCTGGCAGCACTTGACTCTTGAGTGAATACCAACAGAAGAATATTGCAGGGGATTTTAGGCACATTTCTTTGGGGTGCTACTCACACGTAAAGCTGTGTTGCCCATTCCACAAATGCACGATTCTTACAAGTTATACCTCGTTGTAGAGGGGACTAATCAGGCTTACGACGATATATAATACGACACCAATTAGTATTATTAAAGGGGCGAAATAAGTGACTGAAATAACCTTTTTTAGTTTGATGACAAGAAACAGGACTGCCACATAATCAGGCTGGATTACAAACCCTAAACAGAAGTATGAGGGATATCTAAACCAAGACATGTCAACCTTAGAGGTGTCATCAGGAGACTACTAATTACCCTGCAATTAGACAAACAAAAAAGAAAGCTGCTGGGGATTAAAACCAAGTCACCTCACATCTGCCACAATAACATAGACTACAAATGATCTCCATGACTTCTCCGCTGTGCAGTCCTTAAGAAGTAGAAGAAGAAGAAGAACCCAAGGGCCAGATACAAATACATGTGCAAAAAGGATCAGGCCCAAATCCTTTACTGGAAGGAGAGGATGCTGGCATTGGCTGTTCGCCGCTTCTCTACCAGCAAAACCTAAGTATTACCTGGTTTTAGTACGGAATTTAATCCGCTCATGTTGTATAAAGTTTAAACATTTATACACGTTTTTAACTCTGAGCCTTTTTTTGCACGGTTTGTACTGACCTGACGGTGGCTTTCCGACCCACTGTCATCTTTTTCAACACCGGCAAACTGCGAGTAAATCTTCTGCTGTCGGTAGACAGCCCGGACCTTCCAGTCTCTGTTTAGAGCTACTTCTGTGAGGTTTCTCCTGAACAGCCTCGCAGATGGTTCCCCGGAGCAGTTAGGCTCGCTACCTCGGACCGCTACCTCCACTGCCAGCTAGCCGAAGGCTACCTGCCCTCCAGTCAATGAGCGGCCAGTGGCTATGCATTGACTCCAGGCTAACACCACCAGCGACCTGCATGAATCGCATGATGTTGACATATTCCATCCCGCAACTGTTGACACTCAACAATTGGACCACTCCAACATGCATCACAGCCATTAAACAACTTGGACTTCTGCGTCGGCCCTGTTACATCCACAGAAGCTCCCGTCAAAAGTTTATTTACTTCAAGCCCGGACACTCACGTCTGCGACGTCATCAGTACGCTGCCGTCCCTGGCTCAAGTAGCACTGGAAACTCCGCAAAATCACCAAACTTCAAGCAGCACAGAAAACGTGGAGTGGACTCCAGTCTTCTTCGGCCTCTACAACGATTCTCCCCTTCCACAGCAGTCAAAGTAAAGCTTTTTAATGCACAATCCATCTCAAATAAATCATCCTTTATTCAAAATCACATTTCGGTCAAGGGCATTGACTTAATGTGCCTAACTGAAACTTGGCACCAGCCAGGCGTCTTCTCTGCCCTGAATGAAGTCTGTCCTCCTGGTTACAGCTACCTCGAGAAAGCTCGCAGCTCTGTGCGTCGGGGTGGCAGTGTAGCTGTCTTTTTCCAAAATTCATTTGAACTGTCCCCCCTGCCCCTGCCTCAACTGTCCACATTTGAATGCCTTGCATTTAAATGTAAACCCCCTTTCACCATGACAATTCTTCTCATTTACCGGCCACCCAAACCAAACTCAACCTTTATCTCAGATATGCACGACCTTCTCTCTTCACTCTGCACAACCTCTGCCAACATTATAATACTTGGAGTGTCCACATCGACACCCCCTCCAGCCACCCTGCAGCTGAGTTCTTAGAACTACTGGACTGTCTCAACCTAACTCAACATGTTGATGTCCCCACTCACACCAGGGGGCACATGCTTGATCTGGTGATCACTCACTCTGCACCCATTACAAATGTATTAGCATACGATTTGGATGTGTCTGACCACAAGGCTATTTCCATGGAGCTGGCTTTCCAGTCTGCTCTCACCAAACCCAAGCGCCAGATTCACTTCAGAAATCTAAAAAACATCAACCCGGACACCCTAACACTAGACCTTCAACATCTCTCCTCTGCTAACTTCTCATCAACCAGTGAAGCAGTGGAATTTTACAACAAATCCCTAAACAGTCTCCTGGATCTCCACACCCCTCTCAAGACCAGAACAGTCATGTTCCCACGCTCAGCCCCCTGGTACACCTCTGAGCTGCGGAATATGGAGGCGACTGGTCGTGTCCTTGAACGGCATCTCAAGGTCTCAGAACTCACTGTGCACAGGCTAGCATATCAGGTACACCAAAAAGCCTACTCAAAGTCCCTCAGAAATGCCCGGTCACAGTTCTATTCAAACATTATAAATAAAAGCCCCGGCAACTCAAAGCAACTTTTCTCCACCATAAACCATCTCCTAAATCCACCAACCCCCTTCCTCTCAGACACCACAGAGGAGCGGTGCAATGATTTCATCAACTTTTTCAGAACAAAAGTTGACACCATCCGCTCTCTCCTCTTCCGTTCTGCCACTCCACCTGTCCCGAGTGCCGACCCACAGCCGGGGACCACCCAGCCTCTCTGCTGCCTCTCTGTAATTACGCAGCGAGAGACTGAGGAGATCATCAAAAAAATGAAACCTTCCACTTGCACCCTGGATCCCTTTCCCACTGCCCTGGTCAAATCAAACATCTCTGCTATAAGTCCCCTCATCACCAAAGTCATAAATCACTCCTTACAGACCGGCCATGTTCCATCTGCCTTGAAAACTGCTGTCATATCACCACTTCTCAAAAAACCCACCCTAGATCCAGATGTCTTTGCCAACTACAGGCCCATCTCCAACCTTCTGTTCATTTCCAAAGTGCTGGGAAAAGCAGTTGCAGCTCAACTTCATGACCATCTACAACACAACGAACTATTTGAGAAATTTCAGTCTGGTTTCCGCTCTGCCCACAGTACAGAAACAGCTCTGGTCAGGGTCACAAATGATGTACTGATGGCAGCTGACGCTGATTCTCCACCTCTCTCCAAACGACACAAATCTCGGGATCAAAATGGACCCTCAACTGAACTTTGAAGCCCACATTAAACATCTGTGCAAAAACTCATTCTACCATCTCAGAAACATCTCCAAACTCCGTCCTAACTCTCCCTGTCAGATGCTGAGAAACTCGTCCATGCCTTTGTCTCCTCCAGGCTGGACTACTGCAACACACTCCTCATCGGGATCCCTAGCAAGAGTCTCCAGAAGGTCCAACACGTCCAGAACAGCGCTGCTAGGATCCTGATGAGAGTGTGTAAATATGAACACATCACACCCATCCTTCAGGCTCTACACTGGCTCCCTATTTCATTCAGGATTTAATACAAAGTCACCTTCTTACCTACCAGTGCCCCCCCACCTCAAAGAACTCCTGACCCCACAATCCTCCACACAAAGCCTCCGCTCTGGGAATACCAACCTCCTCCATCCCCCCCAGGACTAAACTCCCCACCATGGGAGACCGAGCCTTCTGCTCCACTGCTCCCAGTCTGTGCAACGCTCTCCCCGACCAGCTGAGGGCGCCACAGTCTGCAGACGCTTTTAAAAGGGCCCTTTTTAACAAAGCCTTCTGCTTGTGCTTTTAGTTTTGTTAGTTGCTTAGTTGATGAAATTTGTTTTTATTTGTTTTCTTTTTTTTTTTTCTTTAGCACTTTGAGATTTTTTTGCACAAATGTAAAGTGCATTACAAATTAAATATATTATTATTATTATTATTATTATTATTATTATTATTACTTTGGTCTGTACCAGGACTTGAACCCTCTGGTTCCGGACCCATCCCCCTACAGACTGATCTTCAGCCTGGTAAAGATCTTCTTGAACAAGCTGAAGGACATGGGTTGACCCATCTGGGATCATTAATTCAGTGGGAACCCCCATCTTTCAGAGCTCTTGAAGAAAGATTAGCCAGATTGGGGCACAGCATGCTGAGACAAACGGTTTTATCAAGTCCAACAGTACTCCAAAGACCCTCTGTCATTTGCTGAAATGATGGAACTCAGGGGAGATCTGATATAGTTGTAAACAGAACCCGGTAATGTGCACCCAGAATCCTGAACTCTGAGGAACCAAACATCTGTGGAAGATCACCTTTGCTGTGCTCTGCCAGGTGGGCCTTCATCAGTCCAATTTGTGGCCCCATTCAGTGTTAGATGTCCTCTTAGACCTTCTGACCTCAGGCTCACCTGCTTGGACTTTGACTTAGAAAACATGATTTATCCCAGAGGGCAATCCGGTTCCACAATCCACCAAGACCATGCATACATATACAAACAATCAACAGATAGACTTTGTCAGAGACAACAAACAAATCAGCAGTTGACAGAAATGAGTGCTGGCATCCTGACACCCTTATGTGGTCTCTTTGGGTAACGACTCACACAAGAGTCTGGCAAGATAAAAAGCAGTATAAGGACCACAGTACTGAACCTGCTAGGTCATTAAGTGAGCAATATGTAACTCTGACACCTAGTGTTCAAAATGGGTACTGCAGTCTGCCCCCCCCCCCCCCCCCCCCCCTCTAGAGTGGATGCTCACTCAGGTCACCATGTGGTGGACTCTGAAGCTTCAGTGTTTATCCAGCTCTGCATGGGTCTGTAAACCTTTCTGTGTTCTAACCTCTCTCCATTTTTCAAAAGCATCTCCAATATTGATCCTAGTTTGAGCACGTTTCTGCTCGTGGAGCTTATTAGAAACATGCAGAGGCTTTTTAGGTCGGGTACAATCACTTCTATCTGAACCACTTCTCTTGACCGTTTCCATCGCTGCAACACCTGTTGACCTGATAACTGCTCTCATATCTGGCAAACAGAGGGGCGTCCAAAACGGCCGTGTGGGGGTGTCTTAAAACTGCCTACCACAAAGATAGACTATCCTGATTGACCTTTGACCCTCTCAATGTGAACATCAGCCTGTTACCCTTCAAAGGACTGAGTTCATTGTGACAGTGTTTGTATTCCTCTAACTTCTGTGTGCTCGTTGTTTCATCAGTGATTAGACCATCAATGATTCACTTTGCTCTCTTCTCAACATGAAACTAAATGGCCATTCAAACCATGAAGTAAAGTTAAACCTTCCTACCAAATGTATCCAGAATAACTACAAAATTTAACACTCACACACGTCTGTGTTGCATCCCTTTCATTAGAATAGAATAACATTCAAACAAGTCATCAGGTTAAATACCAGACATCTTTGAATCTGCAGAGGTCTCGAACCCGCAGACGCACGCCTGTGCCGCTGTTTTCATGTTTACAACTGGTTTCATTACACTTTAATGATCTAACTGCTGCTGTAAGGGTTCAAAGTAAACACACTTTATCCTTCAGTGAACATTCGGAGATCGTTTAAACCCTTCAGAGGTCAAAGGTCAAATGACCATTTATAGGTTATTTGAATCTGTGAGTACGTTTCTGTCTTCACTCTCAGTTTCTTCATCAGGTGGGGGGGGTTCTGACTGCTTTCTGCCTTTTTGTCGTCAGATTGGAGAGAGGGGGCTGAATCTGTCGGGGGGGCAGAAGCAGAGGATCAGTCTGGCCAGAGCTGTTTACTCCAACAAGGACATCTTCCTGCTGGACGACCCGCTGTCTGCTGTGGACGCTCATGTTGGGAAACATATATTTGAAGAGTGCATTAAGAAGGCGCTCCGTGGGAAGTCCATCATCCTGGCTACGCACCAACTCCAGGTGGGGAAGTCATTTGCTCTGAAACCATCAATCAAACTGGAAACTCTGCTGTCAATCAACCGGTTCTTCAATCTGAATCAGTTTAATAATAAACTTCACATAGTTAATAGAAGGTAAGTAACTGTGAGCCGGATGGTCAGCTGATCCGCACATCCTTTAAGTGACAGCTGTTAATGTTTGGTACATGTAAATGTAACCCAGGGTAACGATAATGTCAAGATACCTCAAGTGTAGCATTATCATATAAGAGACATGAGGATATCTGCTCACCTGAAGATCATAACGTGCAGAATGAATGCTTCCCCTCTCATTCTTCTTCTTTTATCTCACCGTCCTCTTCTTCTTCTATGGTCAGTA